GATCGTTTAGAAAAATAAAAGATTGCACTCTGGCATGCTAGCCAGCCAAAATTATAGTATAGAATGAGAGAAAACAAAGAGATTAAAAAAGAATGTTGTTTGTGTGTTCATTGCACTGTACAGGCAATAGGAGTCAAGAGATACCTTAAAAAGGAGTCTTATCCAAGTAATATGTATATCTGGTTAAATAATAAGGCTGGAAATGCACTACTGCATTGATAAGTGTAAAAACCTATCATCTCACATGTTTTTTCCTTGGAACAGCTGTTAAATATGTCGAGAGAACTGAGYGAGTTGAAGAAAAATCTCAAGGATGCCACTGCTGCCATTGCAGCCGAGCCTCTGAGCGTGGAGTCGGAGCCCACATTCAACTCTACAGAAGCAGCTATTCAGTCCATGCTGGAGTGTCTGAAAAACAACGAACTTGTTAAAGCTGTGCGACAAATAAGGGAATGCAGGCAAGTTCTACTGCATGGTTGACACTGGGCTTCCATGTTATTGGAAGAGCATGCGTTGTTTATCTTCCAAAGCTTGTCCTAAACCTAATGTGTTGACTTGTCAGAGGTGGTCAGTTGTAAATTGATATTAACTCCTGATACGAACTCTGGCATTGGTATTAAGTCTTGCTAGGGTGTCCATAAATAAAGATACCAAATCAGTAATATAAACATACAGGTATATAATACCTATAATGTTCAATTGTATCACTTAGATCAAAAGTAAGATCTAAGACTCTCGAGAATCTCTTTATAGAACTAGCCCCTTATCAAAGGCACATCATTGACATCAGCTAACATTCAGCCCAGTTTCTCTTTCACTTATTTGAATGATTTTCTTAAGCYCTTTTTAGAAAATAGGAATTGCTCATTTCTGTGATTTCAGTAACCAATCTTTAGAGTCTGACTAACTCCGAAGGAGTTAGAGGAGCAGCCTAAAACAGTGAGTTGCTGWAAGCTTATAAACATGTGCAAGTCATTTTGCCTTTTAGAGTTCTGTCACCTCGTTCAGCCTGTGCCAATAACTCCCTAACGGTATGCACATTGTTTTCCTGTTTGATTGCAGGATTTTGTGGCCCAATGATATCTTTGGAAGTAGCTCTGATGATGAAGTCCAGACCCTACTGAACATTTACTTCCGGCACCAAACCTTGGGCCAGACTGGCACCTATGCACTGGTGGGCTCCAACCAGAGCCTGACTGAAATCTGTACCAAATTAATGGAACTCAATATCGAGATCCGTGACATGATTCGCAGAGCTCAGAGTTACCGGGTCATCAATACTTTTCTTCCAGAGTCCAGCGTTTCYGGCACAAGTCTCTGACAGGACTCGTGGCTCCCCTTCCAGGCTGGGAGTGCTGCCCTGCTGGAGTGAGGTGGCTCAGTGTCTTCTCGGCCTTACAAAGGTTTGGTCAAACTGCACTCACTCTTGTTACCTTTAGGATTTCTTCTAAAAAGATATGGGCAGAACGTCGAACGTGTAGCAATACTGTCAGGACAAAGGTAGCGTAGAGCACCCAGGACAGCATCCTTTGTTCTCTGTTGCACAAAAACCAGTTAGCATTTCACTGAGCAACTGCAACTCACTACTGAAGAAGTGACTTCCRTTGCATACCAAAGCCTACTACACTGAACAGTACTTCCTTTATAGCAAATTGACTTTAGGTTGGCAAGAGTGCAATGTTTCCTTCACAAAATAATATTTTTTGTTAAAAAGCCTTGTACATTTTTTCCTTTTTTTCTCTGTTTTTTTTTTCTGATTGAGTGAGAGATGGGCAGAATGAAGCTGGCCAAAGAATCTCGCGAACTTGTTGGTCAAAAGCTGAGAGCCTGTGTATGTGAAGCAAATTGTAAATGGACTCCAGTGTACACTGTAATTTGAATATGATTGCTGTATCTTAAAACAACGAGCTGCTATGAAGTACATTTCCTAATGTTACTAGGCTACTGTCTCCGAAGGTACTGGATCATATTGYAGAGGTCTGTTCTTAGGCCCCCGAGTATCATGAATGGTCTTGGTAGATTTTCTTTTTTTCTTCTTTTTTTTTTTTAAAGGACCTTGGCTGCTTTTTACTAGAGGGTTGCTTTTATGAATATATTTATACTATTAAAGGATGGTTGATCTAATTTAACTTGCCATTTTGTAGGAGAAAGCCCCATCACAGAGTCAAATCTTTTGAACTGTTATGCATGCCTATTTTTATTTAATATAAATTTGGAGTATAAAAAGTAAAAATATTAACGTGAAATGCAAGTTCTCATGTTAAGTTTCTTTAAAGAAATGTCTTATTTTATTTGCAATGTATATATAAAGTCATATCTGTATGTTTTTTTTCTTACATTTAACTGCTGTCCAGTGTTAAATGTATGCATGTAAATCTGTTGCACATCTGAGACACTTTTATTCTGACAACTATGTAACTTATTCACTCTGTAAATACACTTACCGGTTTTGTGAGGTAACTTGGTTGATATTTGGATCAGTAAATCCATTTAACTAAAATATAAAGTCGTATATAATCACAACAGAGGATGTGCAAGTTGTGCAGATCTTGTTCTCGTCTGTCAATGACATCAGTGATCACCAGCTCCTAAAGGACAACTTTTTCGTGCTTCATGGTGGAACGGGTCACTACATGGGGGGAGACCAATGAGAAGCATAAGAATTTCTTTGTCAGGCTGTAGTTGCAGCTCAACTGGGAAGCGTAAATTTTACTTRAAAAGCAGCTTAATAATTCAAAAGTAAAATTCAAAATGCAAACTAAGATTTGTTTATGTTAAAAATGTCCTCGTGCTGCTATTCGTTCCATAGTTCTGCTCTAACTTTTTTCAGTGACTAACATTAAAAGAAAAGCCATCCTGCCATATCAGCTTAGGCTCTGAGAATCAGACAAGGCCTTTTCCCCCCGTGCCTTTTTCAGCATGCTTCTTGATACATAAAATGGGGTTGAATCCATCCCTTGTAGAGGTATTTTGATTTTGCAGTCAGTCCACTGAGCCCTGCAGCCAGTTGTAGTGGCAGTATGAAATACATGCAGGCCAAATCTGTTAAAAAAAAAAAAGTGCCTGTTCATCACACGCTTTTCTGTGTAAAATGATCAGCAATGGTTAGAGAAATCTTCAAGTTTCAGTTACATTTTTCACTGTCCAGAACTGTAATTGGGGCAATCTGCAGAAAATCTATTGTTTGGTGAGATCTGCATTATCACTTTCCAAAATCATGGTGATCATCAAAAGCAAATTCAAGTTGGAAGGAGCTTCAGGAGATTATCTAGCCCAGCCTCGTGCTGGAGGCAGGGCCAGATGTGAGATCAGAACCGATTGCTCAAGGCTTTTATCCGGTCAGATCTTGAAAATATTTGAGGATGGAGATTGCAGAAGCTCCCTGGACAGCATGTTCCACCACTTGCCTGTGTGGGAAGAGTTCCTCAGAAGCTGGAAGTTGGGCTGACCAGATTGTAGTTTCTTGAGTTGATTGTTTGGCCTTTTTGGAAGGAAGAAGTTTGCAACATTTGCCCTTCTGCAGTTATTGGAGACCTCCCCTGGTTTTCCAGTGCTTCTAGGTGAGATTGGCCTCACACAGACCTCAGGCAGTTCTCTYGGTTAAGAGTTGGAATTAGGACGGGATGTGAAGGTTTATGAGACAGGCTTGTGGAAGTGCAGCAGCTACAGAAGGCAGCCTAAGTAAAATGTGGGTCTGCTGCTCAGTGGGGCAGGGACCAGCATCCCAAAGGGCTTGGAAAAGGCTGCAGTGCACAGCGAGGAGRGTTGTCCTGGTGTTCATTGGTGAGGTTGTCCCCCAGATCCCTRGGGCTGCAAACAGTGTCTGTGGGAGGTATCCATGTTGCTCACAGGAGAAAACAGACTTAAGGTCCCCTTCAGCCAACTGAACGTAACGAGTCCCTGGGATGGGGCTTGTGAGCCAAGGGAACTGTTAATGCCTTTGCAAAGCCACCAACTATCATCTTTGAAAGCTGTGGAGACCAAGGGAGGCTTCTGATGAYCAAAAAGGGCAAATGAAATGATCGTCCTCAAGGAGGGCAAGAGAGGGTCTCAGGAACCACAGACCAGGCAGCTCTGCTCAGTCCCTAGGAAGGCTACGGAGTGAAACTGCCTGGAAGCCATTTCCAGAGACAGASAGAGGAAAGTGGGAACAGCCAGCAGGGCTTTTCTGAGAGGAAGTTGTACCTGATTGCCTGGTATAGTGAGATAGTTCAGTGGGTACTGGGAGAAAGTGGATTTATTTTCCTTGCCCTTCAACATGGCCTGTGCCAAAACTGTTGAGATACCTACTGGATAAGGCAGCTGGAAAACTGGCCGGGCAACTGTACAAATTCCAGCCGGCAGGTGGTTACTAGGAGCATTTTGGAGTCTACATTCTATAATACCCTTATTGAGGCACATGGTGGGACAGAGCGCCTTCTAAGCAAGTTTGCAGGAAAGGTGGGACACTCGATAGACTGGGAGAGTARGGCTGCAACTCAGGGGGACCTCAACAGGCTAGAGAAATGGACTAACAGGAATCCCATCAGGTTCAACCAAGGAAAACACAAAGTTGAAACTCAAAATAGGAATGCATCAGGATGCTGAGCACCAACGGCATGGAAAGCAGCTCTGTGGAAAARAATATGAGATTTTGGTGAACAAGCTGAACATAAGTCAGTGCATCCTAACATAAGTTAGTGCATCCTTGAAGTCAAGGCAGCCACCTGCATCCCAGGCAGGATTGGGATTATTGCCAGCAGGTCTAGGGAAATCACATTGCCCTTTTACTCAAAGCTCATGAGACCAMACCTAGAACAGCATGGAGTTTCAGATTCTTAGTACAGGAAGGATGATMGACAGAGTGGATCAAGACCTGCTTAGGGCTACCAAAATGTGGATCAGGGCTGGAGAAAATGACACTCCAGGAATGGCTGAAGGAAGTGTTTAGTGCTAAGGAAAGACCTCTCTGCTGACTCCTTCCCACATACTCCTAGTCAGACTCCAGAGCAAGAACCTGAAGCCAGAGCTTTGAAGGTGCAGCAGTCACAACACAGAAAGCTCTAGGAGATAAAGGAAAAGCTTTCATCAGGAGAGTCTGCAAAGAGTGGCAGTGGTTGCAGAGACACTACCTCCTTCCCCTCCTTAGAGAGGGGCAGGACTCAGAGGGACAAGGCCCTGAGGAGCGTTAGGTAATCAGCACTGCAGAGCTCCTGGGGTTCTGCGAYTCCTCACACTTACAACAAATGGAACTAGGAAATAAACTCTATATATAATGTGAAGGAGGTTAAGTAGAAGAGGAACAAGTGTATCTGATGAAGCTGAGGACCACATTCATTTCATGATGCTCCTCAAAGCTTCTGTGCAAAGCTGCCTTGCATTTTCAGCCTTGTACAAGYAGTTACAGCTGTTCTATTCCTTCTGGATCTATTTCTCTGTGCAGCACAGTAAGGTGAAACTAAGTGGTRACAAATCAGTGCAAACATTTATTGAACTTTATTTACAGCCTATATACAGTAAAGTTAAATATTTTATAAATAATACAAAAGACTCAATCCATTATCCAATGCCAGGTCAAAAGCCTAAAGTCAAATCACTGCAAAGAACTGACRAAGTGCAGAGCTGAGGCTGGCAGGAGGCTCAGACGATGTATTTGAAGCTGTAGGTGTTGTCACAGGACAGCCTCTTGCCTTTGCAGCGGCCACAGAGCTCTTGGCGATGAGGCCTCTTCAGATCAATGTGTCTTTTCTTCTGGGGGCAGGAACAACGTGTCTTTGAACAGGTCTTAAGAAAGAAGACACTTTATTACTGGCACATAAAAGGTGACCGTTTCATGTCAGTTTGACACTTGGCTTCCCCTTAACCACAACAAAGCATTTGACCCAATATGCTCAAAAAAGCTTCTCACTGCATTAAACTGCAAGTTTCTTATCTAGAAGCTCAAAACCCTAATGTGCTAAAGCACTAACCCCTACATGTCATTAGGTTTGGCATTATAAGACTGCTGATAAGAAGCATTTGCTAAAAGTAGCCTTAGCATTAGGCTATTCCCAAATAACGCTTCATAATAGYGAGATGGAAGCAGACTCAGGCACTGTTTTCTTCCAAATGAAGATCAACATCACTTGCAGCAATAGTAAACTACTCAAGTCCACATTAGAAGATAGAGAGCTCGAGCAGGCTCCCCAGGGACCYGCATCCAACTCACCTGGCATTGGATAGCTTCCACTCTATAGGGATTGAAGCCCTTTTGGCACTTGCGACAGAGCTGCTTGAAGTATACCTAAAACCAGAGCTCAGTTACTATAGGGACTTACTCAGGACACAGGACACTAAGCTCACACCAGAGCACCAACTCAGCACAGCCTCATAGCCACTCTTGCAGGCCTCAGAAGCGAGGCCATGCTCGTTTTAGCTACCTTGTTGCTTCCAGAAATGCACCAGACATAGGCGCTCTCCCATCTGGTTTTGCAGTCCTTGCAGTGGAAATAGCCGTACTTCTGCTCCAGGAACTGTCAGGAAGAAGGACATGGAGCGTCACAACAGCCCAGGCCCAGCTCCCTCCTTACACCACCCACTGTCGCTGGGAGGAGGCCCCCACCACAGGAGAGCCCCACAGGAATGGCCATCCCTAAGGACAGGGGACATGGACCTGAGGGGGAGGTCCAGCTGGGGAGCACCCTGCCCTCTCCCCCTGGGGACCCACATTCCTTGCAGCCCCRCTCGAGCTGCCCCTGTGCCCAGCAGGGGACATTCCAGTCCCTCGGGCAGCCCAGTGCTCCAGTGCTGCACACCTGGAAGGCGGCCGCCCGCCTGGGGGCTGCAGCCTCCTCCTGCGGCGCCTCCGCTCGCTCCTCAGGCTGTGGGGCAGCCTCCACCGCCTCCTCCTCTGGCTTCCCGCTCTCATTCTGGGCCTTGTGCTCCTCGGCGACGGCGCCCGCTGCTGCCGGGCCCTTCTCCTGGGCAGCCTCAGGGAGCGCGAAGAGGCGGCGGTCGAGCACGGGCGAGTAGAGCGCGAGGGGCCGGGCGGCAGCGGCGGCGGGGCGGCCGTGGGGCAGCGTGCGGGGCCCCAGCGAGCACTGCACGGCGGCATCGGCGCGCGCGTTCACCTGCACGCCCACGTCGCGCGTGTTGGCGCGGCGCAGGCGCGGCGTCAGCCCCGGGCTCACCTGCGACAGCAGGGCCTTGAGCTGCGCCCGCCGCTGGCTGTCGAGGCGCTCGGCGGGCAGCGGCGGCGCCCCGAGCCAGGGGCCGAGGCCGCCGCTCTTGCTCTGCTTCCAGCTGGGCTGCTTGAGCAGCGGCTCCCGGCTCGCCGCCACAGCACCCCTGAAGCCCTGGTAGGCGCTGAAGGGGGGATAGACAAACCCCTCCATGGCTGCACCCAGAGGAGAGTCAGCCCTGCCTGCCGCCCTGCCCTCCTTTATCTGCCTGTTAATTGTTGCTAATTGATGGGGAGCTGGGCCTGGGCCAGGTGGGCTCGGCCAGGCGCTGATTGCAGCCCCTGCTCCCCTCGGCTCCCGGCTGCTCGCAGAGCCAGCCCAGGGCTGGACGGGATTTCATGCATGGAAACCTCAGGGCACGGGTCTGCAACAGGCCAGCCTGGCCCGGGAAAAGATGGAATATGCTTCTGCTTGTACAGCACTCCAGGGGAAAAACAGTCACACACGGATAAGTGAGTTAATACCTGTGTAATAACTAAAATTATACAAGTAAAAGCTTTTATATATCAGACCAATAGCCCATCTTCCATAATTACAGCACTTCAGGTATGTCATTTCTGCAGTAATATTGTTAAAGTCACATAATTAACTCATGTAGGCCATGTGTGTGGGTCTATAGAGATAGCTGAGTCCCCAAATCCCTGGACTTTCTGAAATTAAATATTCTCTTTGGGTGGCTCTTCATGACAGAGAATGGTTGGCAAATACCTCCTTCAGCTTCTAATGCTGAGCCTAGAATAACTGCCATGTATCGAAACCTATTCAACGTTTCAACAAAACAATTAAAGTCATCAGTTCTAGACAATAGGTATTTTAAAATTTGAAATAAACTATTTAATAGGAATGCATCTAATACAAATATCCTGCCTGTCATGAAATAGTTAAAAGCCCACCACAGTGGAAAAAGGCACCTAAAAGCGAACTCCAGTTTGGAAACGCTATAGAATTCTTAACTGTTATCAGTTTGTTAAAGCACAGCATTGTTGGAAAATCAAAAGCCAGCGCTTTCTAAAAAGCAGTGAGTTTTATAAGAGCTATACAAGCATTATAAAAATCCATGGGTCAGCAAGGTCAAGGCYAGAGAAGAACCAGTAGAGATGATATCTTTAAACCTTCTCAACCTGCTTGAAAAAAAAATCTTTCAAGTGTCTGATATAATTATTGGTCAGAAAAAAAAAAACCCAAAATGATATAAGATACAGGAAATTCTTGAAGTACATGGTCAAGATTCATCCCAGTTAATAGCAAGACCCTCCAGTCTGATTTTCCAGGGTTTCTCCTCCCCACACTGTTGACATCTTTGGTGTCCCACGGACAGGTGGGTGCTTGGACCTCCTGGGTCCGAGTCGCCACCGAGCAGACATGGCTTAATCCTTCTGTGCCCTGTGAGAACGGTGCCAGCCACAGCCATGCCAAGTGTCACCTCGCCTTCCTCTGGACTTGTCACTCACAGGACCACCAGATCTCTAGCGGATGCACCTCCAGGCTACAGCAATCCCATGTGAGGGCCCTGGGGTTTCTTGACATTGGGGGAGTGCTCCAGAGCAAACTCAACCAGTATGGGCTGCACCGTGCTGTGTCCCACACTTGCTGATGTGGTGCATGTCAGGCTGAAAAACAACGCACAGATTAACTTATTAGGATGTCTTAGCAATGGGATGGAGAATCAAATGGAGATGATCTGTCTTCATGCACTACAGTGCCTTCTGCTTAGCCATGCAGCTTCTGCTATAATCATCAGTCAAGTGTCAGGCAAGTGTGAGGAAAACATCTTCACTGTGAGCGTGACCATGCACTGGCACAGGTTGCCCAGAGAGGTTGTGGGTCTCCTTCTCTGGAGATGTTCAAAACCCATCTGGACACAAYCCTGTGCAAAGTGCTCTAGATGACCTTCCTTGTGCGGGAGGGTTGGACTGAATCATCCCAGAGATCCCTTCCAACCACAACCATTCTGTGATTCTCTGAAAATCTGACTGGACATGTATAGGGAGGTTAATAATACTTGCTTTTATAGCAATATGTTTGGAAGGGATGTAAAATCTCACTGTTGAAGGCCTAAAAAAAAATCTTAAAAAGATTAGTTGGAGACTTTCTGAGCAATGATACACCACCATGGCACTAGTGTGTGCTGTGAGACTTCCAGAGCCTTTCCTTGGGACAAGGACATTGCCTGCTGTGCAAGCTGGAATATGTGGACTTGGAACGTGGTGCTGCGTTTCTCCCCTGTCGGGGTGTGTAAGTGGTGACTGATATTTGGGTGGGAGTATGCGGGTTGTGAGATCTCTCCAACACTAAGCAAGTGTTCCAGTTCTGGGCTCCCCAGTACAAGAGGGATGCGGAGCTGCTGGAGAGAGTCCAGCGCAGGGCTACGAGGATGATCAGGGGCCTGGAACATCTGCCCTATGAGCAAAGGCTGAGGGAGCTGGGCCTGTTCAGCCTGGAGAAGAGGAGGCTGAGGGGGGACCTGATCAGCGTGTATAAATACCTCAAGGGAGGCAGTGAGGAGGAGGGGGGCGGCCTCTTTTCAGTGGTGGGCAGGGATAGGACTAGAGGAAATGGCTTCAAACTGAAGCATCGGAAGTTCCACAGGAACTTAAGGAAGCATTTCTTCACTGTGAGGGTGCCAGAGCACTGGAACAGGCTGCCCAGAGAGGTTGTGGAGTCTCCTTCTCTGGAGATCTTTAAAACCCGCTTGAATGCAGCCCTGTGCCACGTGCTCTAGGTGACCCTGCGTGAGCAGGGGGGTTGGACTCG